ATGCCTACTGGCTGATTTTGGCACCAGCCAGAGGTATGGTTGAGTTAATCATATTTTTGGCGAACACAACTATACCTCTGGCTGGCGCCAAAATCAACCAGGAGTATAGTTGAAAACCTCACACTTTAGTATACTCAACTTTCAATATTTCAGATACTTTTTTTAACCACTCACAGAAGATGTGACTGGTTTATTGTTCAACGCTATCCATTCCCAACTTGTCGATTTTTTTAGTGTATAAAATTCGTTACAACTCCGTCAAATTCGTAGCAGCCATCGCACATGCGGACATATGATGAAACGTTATACGTCGTATCATCCAAAAATCCTTATCACCAAGGGGGAAATTTTCCGTGAGGTTAATCTACCGTTTCCTAAAAACGTTTCAGGCTTTGCTTTTTTCAACGCTGTATACAGTAAAAACTGCGTCATACCCCGTAACTGCCTGAAAAAATGGGATTGCTATACAAGAGGAGATGGAATTTTGGAACGAAAGCTTTTTTTTACTGACGGTGCTCTCCAATGATTTCCTACACCATAATGAATTTTTTAGGCCCTGAACCTCTTACCCTTAGACAGCTTCCGTTCCACTCATTTTGACGACGTGTCAAAATCACATCAAACCGTGAAAAAACAACAATTAACGGATGGTGCTGCGTCTCTGACGTGCACTAAGAGCCTTCAGCCTTTTATTCGTGTCGATGAGGTGAGGTGCATTAAAAAGTGGTGAAGATCGAGTGAACCCTTAACTGGACCGCGTTAAACAGAAAGGAACCAAGCCACATCAGCTATTGCCAAATTTAACAGGGAAATTTTATTTTTTCCGAGAGAACGTTCGTGCGGATTCCTTTGAAAATGTTAAGGAACTAAAATTTGCACAAAAATCCGCACAACCGTTTTCATTGTAAAAAATTAAATTGCCCGATTAAATTTGGCAATAGCTGATGTGACTTGGTTCCTTTCTGTTAAACGCGGTCCAACTCATCGTCATACGGTGGATGATCGAGTCAATAGGAGAGGTTGGACAAAATTTGGAAACTTTAATAGCTTATAACTCCGTTCATACAAAACTTTGAGGTTCTAAAAGTGGTTCCGGTGGTTTTTCCGTGTAATTTTCTTTCGGAGGCACCCCTTAAAATTTAAACTTTTGCGAAATAGATATCTGAATTTGCAGTTATAGTAAAAAATTTCATGTCCAACCTCTCTGATTGACTCGATCCACTGTGCGTCGGGGCAAATCGTTGGTGCAGGAAGGGGAGGATCTAAAAGGTCTAAAACATGTTCTCCAAAAAACGTCATGATTCGTGATTTACAGGTCTCAACGGCCTCTCCTCCCCCCTCCCATGAAATTTTCCTGGTCACGCCACTGGTGCAAATGATGAGTTTCCCCTTTAGAATATCCGAGTTCAAACGGATCCAGCAATACCTTCCCAAATTACTGATTGACATTCGAAGGGGACATGCGTTCCATACACCAGGCAGGATCGTTTTCGCCATCTAGTTTTTTTTTGGAAAGGGATTCAGTGCTAACGTTACGAGGGTTTTGAGATCCTACTTGGAGTTGCGAAACAAAATGAGATTTTTAGGGGGGAGGGTGGGTTAAATCCCGGAAGTTTGATGTTACGTAATTTAGTGATGACCCCAAGGATCGATTCGTCCAAAATCTCAAGGGAACTTAGGAGGTTTTTATTTGACTTACGTAATAATTACGAGTAGTAATTTCGTTATAAATCATACGCATGATATATAGATCACTGGAAATGGGTGACGGGATTTTTCCCTTCAGCATGATCAATTTTTAAGAACGCCCTTGTAATTTCCTTTACGATTTTAAATAGAGTAGAACGCGTGATTTTATTTTACATCATTTGTTCACCAACTCAGAAAATGGAGGAGAAATGGAGGAAGTACACATGATTCTATGGCTGGTGAACTTTATCAAATGATGGCTTGGAGCGTTTATGCAAGTTTAACCTGTTTAGAATAATAAGTTAAAGAGCAGGAAGTAAGAGATAAAATTAAAAGAGGTAAAAACAGTAAGAGAGAGCGTCCAGCCAAACGGTGGGTACTTAGAGGGCATCCGTGAAGAGATGGAGAGATGCGAGCTTCCGGAGGATCTCTATCATGACAGATTCCTGTGGAGAATAGGCATTGCAGAGCGCCCTAGCGCGCCGTAAAAGCGGCTTACATACATACAAAAACAGTAAGAACAGTTAAGAAAATGGGAGAGGGCACCAGAGAGACAGAAATTCTTCTGTCTAAAAAGAGTGAGAAAAGGTGTTTTATACCATTTAAGCCCCCCCCCCCAAAAAAAAATTACATCCCCCTACTTCCTAAAAAATTCATTACGTTATTTATTACATGGAAATTGTACACCTTTTTCATCCTTTTTTTCATAATTATGCACTTTAAGTCCTTCAGTAGTAGGGGAAGAAATTTTTCACAAGAAGTAATTAAAATAAATTATATATTAACAGTCATTAAAGTTATAACAATACCCAACATTTAAATAAATTAATATAAAAAATATACTACAACAATAAAGTATCTATGATAAGAAAATAAAGTAAATGGAATAACTCATTGCTAAAATTTTTATAAATTTTAGTGTCAGAAGTATCTTCAGAGAGCCTGTAAAATTTCAGGGATAAAACTAAAAATAACTAACTTCACTTGAGACCAGTGAACAAATTCGAGATGAAACAAAAAGTTTTAAAATTAAAGGAACTTTTCTGAAACTTTACAATCTCTCCTGAAGTATTAAAATTCAATTTAAAGCACAGCTAAATGATCAAAATAAAAACTTAAAAAAGAAAAAGTTAAAACATTAAGATAAAAAATGGAAGAACAAAAAAAAAAAAAAAAAAAAAAAAAAAAAAAAAAAAAAAAAGCACATGAGTTGGCATGGTTTTTGAAACAGGCCAAACAGGTGAAAAGTAACAGAAATACAGTGGGGGAAAAATACTGCAAAACCGAGAAGGGTCAGACATTTGTACTTCCTGCACAAGACATTGAGTAAAAATCACTAACAAATTTTAGCTTTTAATACTGTAGTATTGTCGAGGAACTTCCAATTATTGCCTATTGAATACTGACAAAAAACTTATCGAAACAATTAATACTGTCAATTAATGCAATTTTTTTTTAAAAAAAAAAAAAAAATATTATATAATAAAAAACTTAATTTTAAAAGATATTGGTGCTGGATTTATCTGCACAGTTGCACCTTTATGCTACCTCTCAAGTAAATTTCGTTGTTCTTCAGACGTATGGGTATAACTACAGTTTGCAATGAGCCTAATTGTCTACATGAATTCACGCTTTTCAGAGCTGACACAAAAATTGAACGATACCCAGAGTAATGTCAGAGGAGCAAAAATTCTCATGAATCAATTGTTATGAAATATTGAAAACACCTTAAAAAAGTTTAATCTTCAAGAATAAAAATTTCTTGAATTCTATAAAAGTTTTATGCAGGACAGTGGCTGATAATTAGCAACTACAAAATCACAATTTTCTCCCTGAATTAATAATTTAAGCACTGATCAATTCAAAACAGCTACAAAGCTTAAGCAAAAATCATTTAAATTAAGAGTCAATAAATTAAAAGGGAAGGGGAGAGACTAGATGGAAACAAAGCTCAGGAGTTAAACTCCACAGAAATGAGTTACCTCTATCAAAACTGGCAATACTATAAAAAAATGCACATAAACATAGTAGCGTTAAGGTACACTTTCACAATCTGAAGACAGAAGTGAAAACTCGAGGCTGTACACTGATAAGATCACTTGGAAATATTTATCTCTGTAGAGTTTCACTATGATCAAATTAGAGCCTTAACTAAGTCATAAAAAAAATCACAATTTTACAAAGATAATTTTTCAAACGAATTGAAAAAAAAAAGGACCAACTGGAGTATTCTTGCTTTGTTATAAATCAACCCTCGATATAAAAATGGGATATCAACAGAGAGCTTTGAATTAAAAAAAAGAAAAAAAAAGAATGAGGTTAAAGATTCAAGTCTAATTTAAAACTTCTATAAGATTACGACAGGAAACCACGGTCCTGAGGAAATAATATAAGTCAAGGCATGCTTTAAAAATATAGATTATCATTTGCAAAGAAGATATTCAAACCTAGGAGAGCTAGAAATTGGAGTAAGAATTTAATCAAATTTAGTAGAGAGGAACTAATCCAATTACAGTGTTGTCAAAATCTTGCATATTTTTCTTTGCTTTTAAAAAATATAATTGAAAGCATGTTCATTTGATGAAATAAAGAATATTTTTTGTTTATAATTGAAACATTTTTTTGTAGGAAAACCAAGGGAATTTGAAATTTTAAGTTTTTATGAGATGAGGTCAAAATTGCACTATTTTTAAAACACTGTAATCACCTTGTTGGTTCCTTTCTGCTAGATTAGATCCTAATCTGGTAAAAAGCAATTGGATCAGAAATTAATTGATAAGTTAAACCATTTTTCTGGAACTATTGACTGAAATTACTGTTTGGAAATTGCATTGATAACTAGATGCCATCTAGTGAGGAACATTAATTGAAAAATAATTGACATCAAATAAAGTGGACAGTCTGTCACATTAGACCAGTCAAAGTTTAAAAATACTCTGTGACAGTATTAAGTGAGTTGATAAAACTTACTTATGAGTTTGAGTTAGATATATATACAAAAAAAATTCTTCTATTTGAGAAATTTTAGACAATTATTACTGCTAAACTTATTCACAGCAATAAATTAGATAAATAATATTAAAAAAAATATAACATAGACCTAGGATCTGCAAAAACATACATTTAAAGATAGTTTACAACAAATTTGGAATATAAAATAAACAATTTAGAGCCAGAGTAAAGTTTGAAAAACAAAAATGTTTTTTGACTGTCTTTGGAACGGAAAAAGGAAAAGTATTTCTAAAACTACGAAATAGTCTTAGGATCTTACAAAACTTTCTTTCATTTCTTTGCCCTTAGTTTCAATGGGTAGCATGGCGCAGGCCACAGCAGCCATCAAAGCTGCCACTCCGTAAACTGTCATGGCAAAAAACAGGGATGATTGCAGCAAAACCTGTGAATGAATAAATATTGTGATATTGCAAGATACAAAAGATATGCCACATAAAAAACTCAAGACGGTATAATGGGTCAGTTACAGTGGTCAGGGAATCGTGTTTTGATGTTTGATTCTTGTAGATTAGCTAAAAATAATAGGATCCATCTAAACCGCAACTTTCTACATTCAAAATTAACCGAGGTATCGCTGATTGAACCACGGGTGTCACTACTGCAGTGGATGACGTCAAAAACCCGACTTTTCAAGGTGCGATATCTCGGTTAATATTGAACGTAGAAGGTTGCGGTTTGGATAGCTCTTATTATTTTTAGCTAATCTGCAAGAATCAAGCATCAAAACACGATTCTGTGACCAGCGCAACTTTCCCATTACATGTATTAAGTATATTCCTATCAACATAAATAAAACCATTTATTTTTCCCCTAATATCGGAGGTTTTCCCCAATTTTATCAAATGTTGCGTTCAATACATGCAGCCAAAAATGACTGGGCTACATTCCATTCATCCACACACAGTGGATGATTACACCATATTATAAGTCCATGGGTAGTTAACGAATGATCTATTCTAGATGGCTGTAAACAAAAACTAAACTGTCAGAGGTTTAGTTAGTGTGGATACAATCATGTCTTTACGAAGGGTATCTGAGGCATCTAGTTCCAAAAGCGGTGATCTTCATTGCCCTGTCTAAAAATTGTGCAATCATATAAATTATCTGTGAGGAGCAATCAAAACGTCCAGCTGTTTTTAAAATTTTCCAAATTTTACGTGCTTAATAACAGAAAATTCACAAGAAAACATAAACGGGTAGGTTTTCCTGCTCTTTTTTTCACTTTTAAAATTATAATGATCGCAGAATTTTTAGACAGGGCAATAGAGATTGCCACTTTTGGGACTAGACGCCTCATCTCTGCTTCCTTTATGGAATGAATTCAATTTTAAAAAATACATAGTGTAAATGTAGGTATACGAGTCAATATATTGCTTTTCCTTTTGAAATTTCTTTTCAAGAGTATACCTTGAAAGGAAGTTTGTAGTTTGAACTTCTGAGTTCAATCTCATATTTTTTTTTTTGATTCAGCAGAGAGGAAGATCTAAAAGTCAGAGGTCACTTTGAAAGGTTAAATTAAAGGGTTAAATAAAGGGCTATGGAGATGAATTCTTCAAACTATAGATGAACTTTCTAATGTATCAGAGAGGAACTTAACTCATACTATGTATGCATTCCTTTTGTATCACCTCACATCACGCTCTTAGGATGTACAGTGGATGTGAAGTTTAACGATGAGAATACAACCTGAACCCAAAAATAAAATGACCAGGATTGTTGATACAAAGATGTTTGTTTTGTTAAGAAGTGTAAATACCTAATATGGGAATGAACAATACCTGTGCAATGTAAGGTGTGACCATAGCTCCAAGTCTTGCCATTGCACTACATGTGCCTACTCCAACAGCACGTAAAGGAGTTGGGTAAACTTCTGGTGTATACACATAAGCTGCTTGGAACACACCAGCAATTATGCCTCGCGCCACAAATAGAGTTACAGTCAAATATGTGCGACTGAAATTTAAAAGAGAAAAGAATTAATGAAGTATAACTGCATTTATAACTGCAAAAGTGAGGATTTTCTTGAACAATTGATTTTGATCTGAAAAACAATTGATTTTCAGATATGTTCTACACAAGATGAAAAACTAAACTTACACAGACAATCTAAAACTTTCCCCTGGCTCCTAAAAATATCAAAGAGCTACAAAATATAGCAGTTCACCAGACAAGGAATGAATTTAAGCATGCTGATATTCATTTTCTCTTCAAAATTTTACGTATAATACAATTTGCACCTAAAAAATTACTGAAATTAATTCCTAACTGAGATATTAACATTCTTATTTAGAAATTGTTGCAAAACACTTGAGATTCCCGCTCACAGAAAAACCAGAACCTATGTGAGCTAAATTGCACACTGCAACTGTTTTGGTTGGCCTCTTAATCGAGCAGAGTTCCTCCCTGCTTTATGTTATTCAGAGTGCAAAGTACCAACAAGTCACTGAATTGACTAGGTTTTGTACAAACGCTGATAAACACCTTCAAAATTAGGAAATACTCAACCACAAACTAACAAAAACTTACTTCAGAAAACAGTAGAAGAGAGCAGACACACAGATAGTGAAGATCAGAAACTGAACTGCCATCGTTCTCTTCCTGCCATATTTTTCGATTACAAATATGGTTGCAAAAATGCCTGAAAATAAAGAATATAAGTTACAGGAAAATTTAACAAAAATTGAATTTATATTTTTGTGTGCAATCTTGTGGGTAGATGGGAATTTTTTAGGAAAATTCAGACTTCTCAGAGAGGAATTTTTAGCTATTAAGTAAAACGGGTAATAAATTGTGTTGAAATCATCTTTCTTTGCTTAGCGGCTTCACTTTTCATCTTAGAAAAATTCCTGTTTAGGCAATAAACTCTGCAGTTAACATGAAGCAAGCACACCATGAAAGGACTCTACAACAAAACGGCCAAATCGGCCTAAACACGGAATCGTACGATTTTCTCAGGGATGATAGAGGATCTTCCCAGACACTCAAAACTGGTCATATTTTTTGCCTAACCCCCAGGGAAAAGGGGGGAGAGGGGGTCAAAATCAAAACCTTTAAATTAGCATAACTTCTCAACGGTTTGTCGTAGAAAGATGATCTTGGTGTCAAAATTTCCAGAAAAATGAGAGCTTTCAGAATATGTGTATGAAATTAATTAAATTTTAAAATTTGACCCACTTTTGGGGCATTTTACAAGGTCCCCCTTTCGTAAATTTTCGTTTTTTGAGATTTTCGGTTGTTCGGTTCGCACGGATTAAAACAAAAACAATTTCAAATAAAAGTAGAGCGTTTAAGCTTTAAAACAAGCCCAAGATGATCTTGGGGAAACGATTAGAAGCGGAGTTATGAGTCTTCAAAGTTGACGCGGCGCGCAGGAACCTTGAATGTTCCGAGTCTCAAGGTCACCTGCGCGCCCCGGATTGCCTGCAGGTTGCAAGTTTTTGTGTTTTTATGCTTCTGTAGGTCATTTTTAATGTAAATCATTCAATGAAGATAGAATAATCGAAATTTTTTAATTTTACGGGAGGAGCGAGAGGGGGCTTAGAGTATCAACCATTATGTCCATCATACCTCATTAAACATTTGCTGACGATGACGATTCTGCTCTTATAATTTAGAAGAAACCATGGACCCTCAGTTCAAATATACATATGCTCCATACAGAACTGAACCATTTAGAAATTATAACCCATTGATGCCAAATTTTGGGGTACCCCTAATTATAAATTTTTTTTAATTGAGCTATAAGCTACAGCGCTTGACGGAACTCACTTGGTAAAGCCAAATAGTTTCTCGTAGAAGCAGACGAGCTTTGAGCTTCAAGACAAGTCTCAGTTATTCTTGAGGGGGCTATTTGAAACGCAGTTAAAATTTTTTGACGTTAATGTGGTGTACCTCGCCGAAGGCCCATTGTGTAAAATTAAAAAATTCTGATTAAACTATCTTCATTGAATGATTTACATTAAAAATGACCTACAGAAGCATAAAAACACAAAAACTTGCAACCTGCAGGCAATCCGGGGCGCGCAGGTGACCTTGAGACTCGGAACATACAAGGTTCCTGCGCGCCGCGTCAACTTTGAAGACTCATATCTCCGCTTCTAATCGTTTCCCCAAGATCATCTTGGGCTTGTTTTAAAGCTTAAACGCTCTACTTTCATTTGAAATTGTTTTTGTTTTAATCCGTGCGAACCGAACAACCGAAAATCTCAAAAAACGAAAATTTACGAAAGGGGGACCTTGTAAAATGCCCCAAAAGTGGGTCAAATTTTAAAATTTAATTAATTTCATACACATATTCTGAAAGCTCTCATTTTTCTGGAAATTTTGACACCAAGATCATCTTTCTACGACAAACCGTTGAGAAGTTATGCTAATTTAAAGGTTTTGATTTTGACCCCCTCTCCCCCCTTTTCCCTGGGGGTTAGGCAAAAAATATGACCAATTTTGAGTGTCTGGGAAGACCCTCTATCATCCCTGAGAAAATCGTACGATTCCGTGTTTAGGCCGATTTGGCCGTTTTGTTGTAGGGTCCTTTTGGACCCAGATGGAGAAGAGGTGGGTTCAGAGAACCTCTCTTTTTCATATTTTCACTGAGCCAGATTTCAAGTTCTGCAACGAATTAGAGAGCTGAGAAAAAAATAAAAAAACAGACAAACAAATACATACCAGGGAACTCGGCCAAAGTTGTCCAAAGAAGATCCATATAATCTCGAGTATTCAATTGCCGGCAATCGGCTGAACAAGTCTCAACAGGTTTGAAGACTCCGGGTTGATTTTGGCAACGAGATGCCGAGGCTTCAAAGAGTTCAGTAGTCATTAGTACAACACCATAGTAGCAAAAAGCGCAAACCGTCCTGCACACACACAAAAGACATTTATCATGTACTGGAAAATATTGCGACACTTGAACTTTGGATAACTCATACATATTTTTAAAATAATTTTTTTCAAGTAAAAATAAAACCTTTTCAGCCTTCAACTGAACGATTTTAGAAAAGTTCTACCAAAAGTTTCTGAGATATTTTTTGATCAACATACTGATGTATCTGTATAACTTGATGCATATGTATCCGGGCGGCGCTCAAGCCAGGACTCAAGCATAGGAGCGACCCATCACCAACTCCATATAGAAAGCCTAGAATGCCTCGTGTTTCATGTAGCAGAACTGTGAAAGCCTCTTTTTTGTATTTTCAATAAAACCCCAGTCTGTCATCTCAACAATATCATTGTGCTTATTCTCCCGTTTTCCCCCCGAAACTATACACAAATCATGGCGCAGTCGTACGTGATCGTTTCTTAGTGCATTATCGTTACCTTACTCGTGTCTCGTGTACGTTCCAACCTCAAAATGGAATTCGGACTTTATAATAAACCTGAACCTCTCTCTCTTTCGGGAAATGTGCGGGACAACTGGTTGAAATTTNACTCAGTGTTGAGTCGAAACGTCTCGGGTTTCATAATTGTGTATTTTTAGCCTTGTTTCCCGTTTTTTTCATCTTTGTTGTTCCACTGTTTTCAATAAAACCCCAGTCTGTCATCTCAACAATATCATTGTGCTTATTCTCCCGTTTTCCCCCCGAAACTATACACAAATCACATACATCCTTATGGAAGATAAAATCTTGATTTACGATACATGTTCTGAAACTTTTTAAAAAATAATAAATACCACCTAAAATTTGTTGCTTCTGTCAAAGAGCTTCAATTGCACAAGGATGGTTCTCAGTAAGTATGAGCTTTCAGGAGAGTTAAAAATATCCCTGAGTCCTAAAAAAAGCAGTGAAAACTAAATTCAATATTCATTGCATATTTCTTTCTCTCTGGCCTACATTCTAAGTAGCATGGAAATACTTTTAAACTTTGAACCTGTACAAAATTAAATCCTACATTGATATATTTCTTTGAACCTGTACAAAAACAAATCCTATCACTTTGATTGGAGGAAAGAAAAATAGTATTCTCCAGAACTTTACCATATAAACCACAGGAGGAGGGAAGTTTTCCTCAATTGAGGAATGAGTAGATCCCGGACGCGCCCTCTTTGTTCAGTTACTATTGAGTCATCTACAACTAGTCTGCCTAACAACATTGGTTTTCCATTATCTGCTGCAACTTGTCGTAAGGTTGCCAGAGCTTTATCTGGCTCACCACATGCAACATGATAACGGGCGCTCTCTGGTAGCCACTAGAAAATAAGGAAAAATTTAAAGGTGTGAATTTGCATTCAAGAAAATGCTTAATTTGATTATGGAGTCTTAAAAATCATTAGATATGTTAAAGCTCAGAAAATCTGCACTGATAAACATAAAAATTCAAGGAAAATTGCATAGTACTGCTTAAAGTGCCGCCTGCCCTGACTACTAGGAGAGTCTAAATATCTGTAAACATGGGTTAGTGCACTCAATCTGAAAGAAGTGGTTTTTGCTTTGAGTTTTGAGTTGGTTTTTCGTGATTTCTATTTATTTGCAAAAAAATCATCAACTAAGAGGTACAGTGAACTGACTCTTGGTGTACTTTGATGAAAACTTTTTCACCCTGGAAGAAGTTTATATTTCCTTGCACAATGATACCTCGATTACCCACTGCTTCAAGCCCTGTGGCCTTGTGGACATGCATTTTCAAGAAAACAGAGCATTTTGTATCATAATTGTTAGATATAAGTTCCAAACTCTTGCAATCATACAGTTCGATGCAAAATATAAGACGAGGAAAATTGAAAGAAACATGATCAAAACAGCGGTACATGATAATGACCATGATATTGATCATTAATATGTATCTTGTCTGAAAGGTGTTTTACGCCTTTTCGACTATTCAGATTTTACGATTTCCCATGCAGACACCTACCGCAAATTGCTGGATGATCAAGGTATTACAGACAATGTTTGGAAAGCTAGAGGGTGAAAAATAAGGGCAAAAAGATTCATACTTACTGGGCAAATGCATGCAAAGGCTAATAGAGGAGCAGTAGATAAGGCCAGCAACCATTGCCAACCTAACGTCGGCATCACAATGAGAGCAAGAAGAACCTCGAAACAAGCCCCGAGCGCCCAAAAACACTGGAGACAAAAAAATTACACATAAGATGAAGTTCTTGATTTTAATGAGTTTGAAGTTCATCACTAGCGAAGTTACAAACAGTGTTCCAAAAGTCTTGCAATCAACAATAGTCCAAGCTAACAAATAAAGAAAATTAAATCCATGTTGTATGATGGGCATGAACACCATTTCATTAGCATTCTGTATCATTGACACAACATCTTTGTGCTCATCAGTGGCGTGGCGTGAATTGCGATATATCGATTGTTATGCCATTTAAACCTATGGCAAAGAATCAATTATTAAGGGGTTCGCTGCGAACACCTTGTTTATCGATCCTTTTCCATGGGTTTAAATGGCATAACAATCGATATATCGCAAAGCACGCCATGCCACTGGTGCTCATTTAGTTAACGTTTTGCTAATTTACTGCAATTTTTAGGCAACGAGTTTGATCGTCCCCTAAAAAATCTTTGACCCTTTGTAAGATAATGAAAAATTAACTTATGTAACTAGAAAAATTGACTACGTTCGTTTGCAAGAGGATTTCATGTTATTGGTTTTTTCCCCTTACGTCTAACATATTTTTTAACAAGGTCTCCCAAGTCAAGTTTTAACGTTAAAGACAATCAGTCAATCAAAGGAGGTTGTCATAATCAGCAATACTTACATCTAAAAGAACGACACACTTTGCTCTTTGCTTGGATGGTAAAAATTCAGCATACAACGTGACTCTGAAAAAATGTCATTAGCATATATATAATTCCTGTCAAACCTCCATTTTAAAATTTCAAAGGCATTTGATTTAAAAAAACAGTTAGCATTGTTGCACATGCATTCTTTTTTGCGAAATATGTAATGTAATGAGGATGACACTTATAGTCTGTCCAAGATGGGAAGAACCATGGAAAGTCAGAATTATTTGCACTGTTTTGCAGGGTAGGGGTGTCTCGACCCTCGTCAACTGTCACCTCTTGGTGTTTAGCGCATGCCGCAGCCACCGCACAGGAGGCTATGGGCCTGGGGCACCGGTTTTCCCTGGGATTTGACCATGGCGCAGAAAATTCCGGTTCTAGCCGTCGAGCCGCAAGCAACTCATGAGGAGCCAGCCCTCTGTGCTGTGCACCATGGTGCAGGGTTGGTTCAGTGTCTTCATCGCTTACAATTGCTGGAACGCTACCCTTCCTTCTATATGTTGCAATTACTCCCGAATTTCCACGGTTCTTCCCATCTTGGACAGACTATAATATAGAATAAGTGCAAGTATTTTACCTACTACAGGCATGATTGGACTTCATTTAGCAATAAGGGACTATAATTTCTAGCTGATCAAATTGTGAGAGTGGATGTGAGAGTGGCCCAGGGACCTGGCACCCAAGTCGAGGGCGCTGACAAAAACCCATACGTCACGGGACTGGGCAGCGGTGGAGCACCCCCCAGCGAGAGGGCAGAGGGGTAGTATCCCTTCTGCGCATGCGCAGGGCGAGGCTTGACCGGTTCCGAGTCAAGTGGAGGGGGTAGCCAGAGCCGGAGACCTAGGGAGCTCCTCGGAACTGGGCCCTGGGATTATTCTTGGAGAGACTGGCGATCGAGCGGCACTTGTCCGCTCCTCATCCCATCGACCCGGATTCAACCAGCGCTTGATTATTGTGTGCCCTTGTAGCAATCAGCATTAGACATTGCATCTCATATCACTTTTGGTTCTCTTCTTGTCTTCGCCTCTTCCCGTCCATCATCTCTGTGTCTGCACTGCCGTTGCGACGAGTGTCAGCTCTGCACTTGCGACGCTCTGCGTCTGCATTGCTCTAGCGACGCCATCGTCTGCACAGCAGTCGCGACGCGTGTCGGCACTTGCTCTTGCGACGCCTTGCGTCTGCACTAGCACTTGCGACGCTCTACCCCCCCTGAGCTACGCCATCTCACAAAAAGAGCCAGAAATGGTAATACCAAAAAGCAAAATGTTGTTGCCTTCATCCATTGCTCCTTCCAATCAGATTCTCAACATGACTTCAAATTATTTAGAAACAGAAAATTTCGTATCATATATTAGAATACGACAGAATGATTGATAATTAAATCAGTTAATTTAAGCAAAGAACAATAATGAATATTAAATAAAATCTGCACATCTTTGTAAATAAAATAAAAAAAAAGGAAGGGAAAATAATGTGATACTTATTATTAAAGTCTGAAAAGAACTTACGACTGAGGGACACATCCAATTGCAAATCCAACCAAACCGCGTAAAAAGAGTATCCATACATAGTTTGGAGCAAAGGAACTTAATAAACCATAGTAGAAAAGCAAGACCGCACATAACGTCAATGCCTGAAAAGTACATTCAAGTTGGTTAGAGAATAAGAAATCATTTATTTTCCTTATAAGTATATCATATGGCATATCATAGCAGCATAAGACATATGCTGCTACAATATGCATCAGATGCGTTGGCAGTTGCTGACTTTCTGTTTGTAAGTGTCTGATGATGCTGTGTTACTATGATTACCGTTACTGACTTTTCTATGCTTTAGCCAGAAAAAAATAGAATAGCAACAGTGCTTTTCCAAACAATTCATAAGTCAATGAGTTAAATAATAATAATAATAAAAAAAATTCTAAAAAAAAACCATTAAACTTTATGACAGCTACACCAAGGAGTAGAAAAAAAAAGTAGATACCTGTTTCCTTCCATAGCGATCACTTAAATGCCCCCAAAATGTTGAACTGAGCATCATTCCTAAGAAGACAACCTGATAAAGAGAAATAAAGGGTTAGCTTGACGAAGGATGAAAATCAGTCACAATAAAGAAAAAAAAGCTTTTTTTTTATATTTTTATAAGTATTTACAAACGCAATAACAGTGGCACAGAATGTTCTGCTGGCTGAAAGCTATTTATTCTGACTAATGTCAGTGCCTATGATTTTATGCTAGCAAGTTTAAAACTGTCCAATACAAAAATGCTGTGATTTAAGTAATGAAAATTTAAACATTCAAATAAGAATGGTAAGGCTTGATACATTCTGTACTATACGTGCAATATTGATAACTCCTTAGTCTTAATTACTTCTTTAGAATGGAATACCCACCGTTGTCGCAAGAGCTTGTTGATATCTAGTTATGTGCCATTCACAGTGAAGAGCAGGAGACAGTATGCTGAGAATTGTCATTTCCATGCTGTCTGCCATCCAGCAGAGACCAGTGAACAAAGAGAGCTTGGCTTGAAACTTTCCAAATCCAAATGCATTTACAGCTTGGGTTACAGTGAAAGTATCTGGAACAGAAAGAAATAAATTAACATTGAATGCAAATAAATAAAGAGACCAATCTTTAGTCTTTGAAGTAATTTTCTTTTTTCAAGATCTAATAATAAAAGACTTCTGCCAACTTAGAAATATAAGCATGTAGGTATATTATTTCAATTCTTTAATGTAAATGCGAATATTTTTACTCTCCAAGCATTCTTTTCCTACATTGGGCAATCATTCATCGATATTGGCGAGAGGCTTGATGGAAAATGGCTGCTGCTTCACTTATCATGTGAACACAAACTAGAACCTGGGCATTTTTTTTTTAAGTCCAATTTCAAAGGTAAGTAAAAGCTTGTCTTTTCAGTTTTGGAAAGAACTCAGAATCTAAAGAAAATAAAGCTTTCCCAAACTAGAACAAACAAAGAGACTTATAAATTACATATAGTGATCATGATGGGCTGTAAAATCCAGGTAGGTACGTAATATTAAAAAAAAATGCAGTCAGGCATCGTTTGAAATGAGGTATGATAAAATGAAAGATGTTGATACAATAAAATCAATGTGAGATTATTTTTCAATTGTGTTTGAAAAGGATCATATTTTTCGATCCTCAATGTACATATTTTAAATAGACTAATTTAGTGGCTACATCATTTAATATAATATCGAACCCTTGGTTCAAATGTAGAAGAAAAAAAAACCTTGTCTCTGTTTCATGCCCTTTGCGCCACGGTGGTAAAATGCGTCTAAGTGTTTCTCACAATCTAAAGTTCCCATGTTTAATAAGTCTATAATTGATTTATGACCGGTCAATGGTTAAATTTTAATAAATTGACTCATGAATAATTCGTACATGATGTTATGTTAGTTTGTTTTAGTTTGAACCTGGAGTTCGATATTATTTAAAATGACGTACCCAGTCCTGGGGTGCAGAAACTTCCAAGGGTTCCCCATTTTAAGCTTAATTTCGCAGAATTTCACCCAACACATAAAGTAACGCAGTCGACAGTTGGGTTCCCTCAAAACAGCGCAGTCAACGGTTTAGTTCTCCCAAAAACAGAGCGCTTGAATGTTATGTTCCCCCAAAAATAGTGCGCTTGACAGTTAGGTTCCCTCAAAGTAGCGCACTCAACAGTCAAGTTCCCCCTAAACCCTGGAAAAAAAAAAACCTTCCAAGGTTCCCACAATTTTTTCGTCCTCACATGGGTTCTCCCATTTCACTCAAACGGCCGGTCGCGTGGTTGAGAAGTTTCTGCACCCCTGACGTAGTCACTAAATCAGTCTATCGCTAGGGCTTTTCAAAGGAAATGTAGATACTGAATCAAGGTACCATCTGGAACAGCCGAAACTGAATTCATCTCCAATTCTTGAGTTGAATGGGGATAGGAGTCCCCATCCTGCAGTAACTCTCCTGGCCGAGAGTTACTATCAGCTCTGTCCAGATCTTCATAATGAGAGGTATTTCTCCCTCTACTGGTTAATTTGGCCGCATTCAGAATTTGTGACATTGTCGGAAGAAAAAATATCTCTGTAAGAGAAAAAGAAGTGTTAGAACTTAGTATTCATTAAGGGTTTCGAACAAAAACACAGAATATTTATGGAAGGGGCAGAGTACGTTGAGAATATTTGGATTACTTGGTAGTCTGTTATTCTTCAGATAAGTATGGGCAGAGACTTCAGTGCTTAAAAACCTTGCAGGTACTTAAGAGAAACTATTGAAAATTGCTGAACAAGGGTGAATCATCAATTTTACACACACTAAACAATTAAAGCAGTCTTGGCATTATCAGTGGCTGTGAGCAAGCTAACACTAGTCCTCGTGTAAAGTTTCTGACTGCTCTAGATCTAAAAAATGTGGACACCTAGCTCCATTCGTTAGACTGGAACCATCACTTTTGTTACAAACAGACTAAAATAGATCAAAATAAATCAACAATGGCTGTATAAAATGACACCTGAATATTGACATCAAACTACGAATCAAAATTTCCGACTTATGTACACATTGACAAGGCAGAGCTCACAGCTGTTGGGGAATGACAGATACGATAAAAGCGAAGTCAACTTGAAGTGATTCATTTGCCCCTGAAAGCAGGATATTTATCAGTGATCCGATAAAAAAAAAGAGTATGCTCACTGCATGGAGGTTTGGTAGGTCTTACTCACGATTGAAAATTGATGATTGAATTCCAAGAGAACTGGTAGGTATAAAATCCTACTTTACAATATTAACCTACAGATAGTAATAGTTTATTATTAGAGGAGCTCTTACCAAGGTATCAACTGGGCATCTTTTTGCAGAGCAGGAAAAGCCAGCGCATTTCGCACCGGACCGACACGAGAAAATGGTTTTATTAGGTCATTGCACTTTCCATGAATTTTCGTGCTTGACCAAAGCTAGGACATGAGCGTTCACAACTGAAAATCTGAATGAAAATTGAGCTGCTCAGTTGAAAATACGGCACGGAAGGCAAAAGAGGCGTTAACCGAAGTCACACAATAGCAAAAAACACTGAACTTGAGGAAATACTTCCGAACTTTCAGAATCATTGACAGGAACCGAACCGATAAAATTTGGCACGAAAAAAAGTACAGTTATGTGTTTACTTGAAACGTAAACAAAAATGTGTCAACAAGTGGAGGTCGACGTCATCCAGTAAAGCACCAATCACCAGACGCGACGATATGAACAGTGGCGGGTAAATTTGAATTGACGCTCTCGACTCAGATCGCCCGCAAAAGAATCCTATCGATGAATAATGCAGTGATACCATAGTATTAACATTTCGCAATAAGGGACCACTATTTCTGGCCCATTTTAGAAACAACTTACATGGCATTGGCTTCGCTATGCAGAATTGTGATTTTATGGGAGAGGCAGAGATAGTGGTTCCTTATTGCAAAATGTAATCCAACATGGTAGAAAGCACATTCTCTTCTAAAATGCGATATAATAGAGAGTACACGTGGAGACTTATGAGGTAAGAGGGGCAGGGGGCGGATGCTTCAAATCTGAGCAAAGGCTTGACAACAGTGCCCTATGCCCTTAAATTTGCCTTCATTTCTTGCCTCTTTCCCCGAGATATGCTTTGAGGAGGAATTCAGGAACCTGAATCCTCTCAGCCATCTTGAGTATAACAACACATTTTAGTATAGGTGCTGCAATACTTCTTTTCCTCACACACACAAAAAAAAGAAAAAAAAAATCTAAAAATTATTGAAAAATTATTTGAGGAAGGAGAATCTTCCAGTAAAAAGACACAAATTTAAAAGGTTTCCCAATAATTGCCTCATGAAAAGTCTCCGTTTTCTTTATATACGAGGTCTGTTAGATTAGAAACCGGATTTTGGTGATAACTAGCTTTCTGTGAGTCAAAATTAAGTTTTCTTGGACTTTTCTGATAGCTGATAACATACTAAAGAACGCTACGTTCACAGATTTTGTTTATCTTGATCAGTGTTTATTCTGTGTCATCTTGAATACAAGGAAGTCAGGTGCGTTTTGCGATTTTCATCATGCGATCACTGATAGAGAAAAGATTCGACATTAAATTTTGTTTTAAACTCGGTATACCTGTACCGAAACTTTTGGCATATGCTAAGTAAAGTTTACCATGATCATTGTATGAGATGTTCTCACTGTTTTGAATGGGTTAAACGATTCAAAACTGGTCAGGAGTTCGTCAAAGATGAGGAGCATGGGAATCGACCACCAACGGCAACTAACATTTGTTACGAGGAAGAAGTGCGGGCGAAAGTCTCGAAAATGGTCGTTTTGAGCTTGCTCAACAGTGTAATATTTCTGAAGGCTCTGTACATACAATTTTGATGGAACATGTAGACATGCATAGAGTTTCAGGCACACTTGCCCCTTGATTGTTGTCCGTTGAACAAAAATCCAACCAAATGTTAATTTCCCTATAGCTGCTTGAACGTTCTAACAATGATCCTACATTTTTGGATAGGATAATTTTCGGTGATAATACTTGAGTGTACGGCTACGATACGGAGACGAAACTCCAATCATCCTTATGGATTGAAAAATGCAGTGCAAGACCGAAAAAAGAGAGACAAGTTCGGTCAAACATAAAAATCGCAAAACACCCAGGAGGTTGCCGTACTGGAAGCCACATATCAACAAAGCTAATTAAGATTTTTCAAATCTGTGAACGTAGCGTTCTTAAGTATATTTCCAGCAATCAGGAAAAATCAAGAAAACCTAATTCCGATGCACAATAGGCTAGTTATGACCAAAATCCGGTTTCTAATCTAACAGACCTCGTATTTCTTAATAATGTCTTTTTCTCTTTAATTCAATTTGATTAAATCCTCAAACCGCCCTACCCTCGTGAAACTACAACGTATGAAAACGCAATGAATGAGGAATGAGACACTTTCTTAGAGTCCACAGCAGCAGGTTTTCGTGGATTTGAAAATTCCCTGACTTATTTTGAACATAAAAATACCCGATTCTCTCTTGGCTTGTCAGTACCATTCGGTGCTTTTTTGCATGATTTCCGATAAATAATTTGAACACAAACATTTCTGAGCGCCAAGTATTTTAAAAAGAAACAAATGCATTGTTTTGGCTGAAGGAGAAAATTTCCATAGAAAAGTTCCTAACTTTTCTGAACTCATCAGGGTTGAGCAAAATTCCATGAGTAAACACACCAAGTCACATGAAGTTTGAGCAGAGAAAAAGAGGCTTGAGGTTTTATTCTTCCCTGAGACTCAATGTCAAGGACAGAGTTTGATGACTATTTTCTGGATCAAAATATTTTTTTTCTCTTGAATTTTTGACAGGAGAAAGTTTACGAGTAATTTATTTCAATAGTTCATTTTTACCCCAAAATGCTCCTCGGTACAATTTTGTTGAACTCCGTCTGTTGGTTTGTCTGTCTTTCTCTGGATGTTAGAGCACTATGTTAGCAATACAAATGTGTAAGATGATAAAATCAAAATTCATGAAATGATGGATGGTTAAATATTTTATTTTCACATAAAATTTTTATAAAAATACAAGAATGGGCATAACATTCATAAAATCATTTTAAAGAGGTAAAATATGCTATTAACTAAATTTAAAAAAAATAATTAATTCATAAGTACACGGGTATGTAGTTATGAAATAAAAACTAAAATTGGAATGACAGTTTTTTCTTGATCATTTCAATTTCATGTAAAAATGAAAAACCTTTGATACATGCTCTTCAGCAGATAAAAGCAAATGCTTAATATACAATGCCAAGAGATTCTTTTAAGCACGAAGCAAAAAAAATTTAAGTACTATTAAATTTTGTACTTATAATAAATCCTAATGCTACATTCTATCATACAGCGTTGAAAAAATGTTGCACACATGACTGACATAAAATTGAGTAAGTAAGTACCCACTACCATAAAAATGAAATCAAGTAAGTGTTAGTATCTGTTATAATAGAGTAAATGGCAAATAAGTTTGAATACTTTCACACTAAAAAAGAAGATCTGCTATTTTCTGCTTAGCATTGAGTGTAAATTCAAGAATCTGAATGATATATGTAAATCTTCTGTTTCACTTTTAAAGTGTTTAAACTTATCTAGCATAGACTCAGCTTACACATAATGAGGAAAGTCAATGAAGATAAAACTGAAAACCTTAGTGAGATGCAAAGCCAGCATGAATAAGTATCACAAAATGATCTTGATTGATATTCTAGCAGTTTCGAAAAGGATTTTTCTGGCTTTTTTGGACATGATCGACTTTTTTGCTGTTTTTGAGCTCCTATTTGAGCGCGCAAAGCTAATAAAGCTAAGATGGCGTTCAATATTCCTCCTCCTCTCTTGTCCGGATTGATGCCAAAGTGGCCATTAATAATTATACATACATGAATTGATAAAGTCTACATGGACCATAGATTGCGGCAGAGGTCCCCATCTGGCTACAGAGCCGGAGCGATATTTTTGGACACCATCCTGGCTTTCTCAATAATGCAGGTTTAAATGAAAGCTCATAAGCCGCAACTTTGAACTCGATTTTTGTGAGTTTGTAATGTAAAATTACAGGAATTACAGGTGAATACAGGAAAATTTCTGACAACTAAAAGCACTTCCTACTTTTCAAAATACAAAATTTAAAATTCTTTAAACAAGCTCATTTAAGAAAAACTCAATTCAGTGCCTTTCGACTAAAATTTATAATAATATTTTAATATTTTACTATCATAAAATTGTATAATATTGAGCCACATGACTCTTAAGAATACTGTTATGAACAAAGAACATTCTGTCAAAATCAAAACAGTAACAGGGAGGTATTATAAAAGATGCAAGTGTGAAAAACGAAGAAAAACATCACTATGGTTGGGTAATACAATATTATCTAAAATGCACAAGGAAAACACTTGATTTAATTGATTGGTTGCTCTGTGTGCAACTGAATCTGACATCATGTAAGCAAATAGCTGCCCCGCGCAAAGCACTAACTTACTAATTTTACAAGTTTTTGATTACAATTTGAGGCTTTACATTTTGCCTTTTCAACTTTTTCTTAATTACTTTCCGGAGCACATAGATCATTTGTCTTGAAAGTTAAAAATTAAAATTGGTCAGTGATCATCAAAGGTTACCAAATAAAAACAGGAGCACCAGAAATGATGAAAAAATATCATAGGATGAAAAATAAATCATAAAACTATACTGAGTATTATTTTAACGAATCAAATAATATTTGAGTAAATACTAATATTTTATATGTATTTAACAATTCACAGCTCTCTTTCCCATAGGGAGATTATGGTTCTATTACTAGTTCCACTGATGAATGATTGAAAGAACCTGATTTAAATTATCACACCATTCATTCCGGCTTGCTTGTGTGTCAGCAGAGAGGAGGAAACGCACAATTGTTTGCTGGCCTTTCACAGTTAGAATATGAGAATCTACATCATCAGGTTTTGAGGGACGGATACATTCCATTAGAAAAGTATTTTTGCGAGCACAAATTTCACGAGAAGCAGCTGAGATGTTCCTTGAAATGCATGTGGTCAAATCGATGGAGCCGATTGGCTTCTGCGGAAAAAACAAATCGAACAAAATTACAAACAAATTCATGAGTTTATACTTCATAACTTCTTTTTAGAAAATGAAAAGTAGTAAAATATTTGCTGAGAGTGCTGTAAAGCGACTTGTATGTATGTATGTATGTAGTAAAATATTTAATTCCTTTTTCTTTTTTTTTCTGATCTTTATTTGGTGTGTTCACCATTGAATTCTACTAAGGAGTTACGACCTGCACCTATGACCGTATGCAGAGCATTGATCTCAGATTGTAGATCACAGATATATGTGGTTAGCCATATAATTACTTATCATTTTTTAGAGACATTTAGCTACTGAGGCTATTATGTCTTCACAGAATTTGTTAGTTATTATTGGATCTTTATCTCTTCATATATATGCACATACGTACGTATTTCCTCCTTTTTAAGATTTTCTACTTTTTGAGGAGTTATAAATATCTTTCTCAGGTTGCAAGATGCTCAAACCAAATTCTTTGTTATTTCAGCTATATTTATATAGATTTAGGGCTTAAAAGTGGAGGGAGATCAAATCTTGTCCATTCAAAAACGTCCAATTAAATTGAATATTTTCAGCTTAAATTGTAGGTGGTAGTTTCTTTCCAGGACTGATTTGGTATTTAATTTGAGCAAAATTGGCTCAGCTATTTCAGAATGGCAAACTTTGAAATTTTTTAGCAGGTGGGGAAGAGCAGTGTCACGGCAAGGAAGTTCACAGACAAACTGTTCGTTACGCAAGGGGTCACAGGCAGCTATCTTAATTCTATAAGATGCAGACGGACTTTGGGAAATACATGTCCTTCCTTCGGTGAATGTGCAGGTCTCAAAGAAAGGAGGAACGCAACTCAGTCCACACAAACACCATGGAACAAGCTCAAAGCAAGCGTGCCCTGGAGGGCTTCAAACCTCTGCCAAGTGCAGGTTTTTTCCTTTCATTTGCTGGACAAGGCAAAACGTTTGAAGTTTTCAATTTTAGCAAATAAAGGAGGCCATTATGCTGAAGAAATTAAAAACAACTCTTTTCTTCTTTGTTCTTTTTTAAACATGTTGCAGAAAATTGGAAAATATTTATTAATGAGAGAAAACTGCAATTTCCCAAGAAAATGCTTGCTTCAGGGAATCGCTAGGTATCACTTTTGATTATTTGTAAATCACTCACCTTAGTGTTTTCATCCTCTGGATACTTCCAATATAATAGTTGGTTACCGCTCAACAGGCACCATCTTCGATGCCAGGCACCAAAACCAGAGATATCATCAAACATGGTCAAAAAACCACGAAATTCTACAGAAGCTGTCACATCACAATTTGATCGAAAACAGAGCGTTCCTTCCAGCAGACTCGGCACCGACATCTGTGATTACAAAAAAGTGATTTAAATTGTGAAAAAACCCTTCAGATATTAATGCTTGGAAGTTTAAATGACAGAGGCCCAAACTCAATAAACGGTGGAATTCAAGCCAAATATTTTGCAGCCCTCACGATTATTGGTAATACCAGTTGATTAAGTTTGGGCTTATTATTTCAGCTTCCAGTTGTGATGTGTAAAAACATTATGGATCTAAGATTTGAACAAGACTTAAAGAAAAATGACAAAATCCTAAATGAGCTTACACAGGTTTTGCTGATTCTAATGAGAAATTAGGGATAAAAAATTTAAAATCAAACTTCTGACTTTCTTCTTAGTATTATAAATCTATTTTTGAAAACAGCTTAACATGAGAAGAAAATTATGTAATTGTTTTTTTTATCACCGTAAATATTAAAAAATATACTTCAGATACACTTGGATCTATCTTAACAGTACCTACAAATTTCTCGAAGACCAAAATTGGAAAACTCGATAAATTCCTGTTTCATGTCAGTTGCATGTATTCAAAAAGTAAAATACAGGAAATGAGGCCAATTTAACTGAGGATTTTGGAAGAGTTATAGGATTCATGACTAAGACCTATTTCAGTGTTAGCTATTTCGAATCGATGGTGAGCAGAAGTTTCTCAGTTTTTTGTGTTTGCACTGTACTGCCCTAAAATAGTTTGAGAAAAGTATTAGACTTACTTTTGTAAGTGTAATTTTAGAGGACTTCACATCATTCAGCGTGAAAACACCAGACCCAATTATTTTGAAATTGGATGATTTTAGCAGACTACGAGAGATAACTTTGCGAAGTTTTGAAGCAGGTTTAGATTTCTTTGGGGTGATCCATAGTTTGGAGCTTTCCTGAAATTCATAAAGAGAAGAAAAAACATGGTTAACAATCAGTATAATCTGAAACATATATAAAGTTTGAAAATCTGGAATAAAAATTTATTTACATCTGCATATGAGGACTTATATGTAACAATAGCGGTCGCTGACATCCGCCATTTTTAGGGCAAACGCTTTTTTTGAATTCTGGAGCCCTCAAGGATGCCTGTGCAAAGTTTCAGACTGCCAGGACAATTTTTCGGCGAGATATGAACTGAAAACCATGTCATTTGTAAAAACAGCGGATGTCCTCCGCCGGAGCGGTAGGAAACTGTGGAGATTCAAACCTACTTGCGATAACTGCCCACACACCGATCATGGGCTATTGCTGACACTGAAATTATATGTACGTATCGGGGCCGTCTCGCCAGAATTGTTGATTTTTTAATTGATTTTATAATTTGTTCCTTGTTTTTGTTGTAGAAGTTACAAACGGTTTAGTTTTTTGTTCGATTTTATTAAATGACTCAGCATTGACTTACTTTTGGTTCATTTTAATCGTTTCACCAGCCTTACCCTTCCTGAAGACTAGTTTCATGCATAAAAAAAGTTTTCAGTAAAAACAGCGGATGTCACATTTTTTTCAAATCGCTGTTACTCCTTCAATTTTTCACTTACATAGTTGTGTTTTTTACAGGAAGGGTTGCTCTTCATTAAAATCTTTATAAGAATCCTCTCGGTTTTGCAGGCAGCAAAGTGCAAAGCTTCGAAAACTTGAAACGCGATTTTCTCACAATGTGAAAACTCCACATCGCTATTGTTACATATAAGTCCTCATATTGTGTCCATGTCTCAAGTATGATTAAACCAAATCAGAACATTGATTGAAAGGATTTCAACTAGGGTTCTTTTCCCCCACTGTAATGTAAACACAATGAACAGTATTGTGAATACGAGCTATTTTCATAGCTGAAGTTCGTAAATGATAACTCCATTGCTAAGTTAAAAAATCACACATCATGTTTCAAATATTTGCAAAAAAAGTAACCAAAACATATCTTTTAAATTTTTAGGGGATATTTTTGAATGGATGATGAAATTTTTAATGAGAAACTTTTTGTTAGTTTCTTTAAAAAAAAAAATAAAAAATGAGCGGAGTTTTGAAACAGCCCAATTGGAGATAGCGTATTTTAAGCCTAGGGACAATCAATTTAGCCTTCATCTTCATTCAATGAAAAATACTGTAAATGCATTGTAACAAGATTCTTCTGAAATAAATCATTGAATAGCAAAGCTTATACAATAATATTTTCCAAGTATCAAAGAAAAAAATAGGCTACTCTAAACACAGTCGCAAACTGACTGAGTAAACTTGCCTTCTGTATGCACTAAAATATTAATCAGTTCGAAAAATAATTTTAAATGCTATAAAAATAAAAGGAAGAAACAAACCTTTTTTGTAGAGGAGGAAGCTTTACCATTAGAGGGAGTTGCTGGAACAGCTAAATCGTATACTTCAATGATAACTTTGAAATCGGGAGTAATGTTGGGTATGGTAATTTCATGAGGAAATTTGACATAAACCGTTTTTCTTGAGTTTTGGAGAAGATTTTCCGCAGTCGCAATAAAGAGGGGAGTGCCAAAGACATGCTCATTTGACTTCACAATTACAACTAGGTGATGGCAAATATTTGCTGTTGAAAAAAAAAAATAACAAAAAAGAATTGAATTACTATGCATGATGTATGAGGTTATGCATTTTTATTTTTTTGGACAAATGAATGCTATTTTCAAACTAAATCTGTATCATTTAAATGAAACTAATTTATATCTTCAACTTCAAAAGTTAATATTTATTAACTTAAATTGACAAATTTACTCTAAAATTACTTTTCAGTAATTTTAATTAGTTTAGACTTGTCTTAATTTATAAAATTGATCTAATGAGGTTTGAATTTGAGTATTAGGAACTTTTCTTGAAATCTGTAAGATATGCCAAGTCATTAACTCTTGCACAGAGGAATGTACCTTGAATGTGTTTATTTCAGTCTCAGTAACATTTTATTTATTAAAAGGAGAGCCGTTCCATGAATTTGCCAGATATTTCTAATGATTTTCCTTCATATTTTCGAGAAAAGACACTAAAATTTTCAGTAAAATTCGTGCAACACTTCTTCTATCGAAAAATACAATTTTTGTGGAAAAACTGAAATGGTACAAAAAAGCTACGTTTTCCTTTTTTCCTGCTGGTGATGAAGAGGTGTGTTTCCACATTAGATAAGCATGGATCAAGAGTGGCAAAAAAGTTCTGATGGTGACAATTTAATTAAATACCTAATAAATTTGAGTGTGCGAGTACTGATTTTGTAACTTTTCTTTTCTTTCTCTTGTTCATTACAACAAAATAGAAAATTGCCATATTTTTTCAGTAGGGCACCTTTATAACTGATACGGTGTAGGTATCATAAACTATAGGATGAGTAAAATGCGATGTATCCTAACCTTTTGCTGCTCTGTGGATCAAATCTAACTTGATAGGCAAACAAATATCAGAGAGTGTTAAAGAACTATTGCTGATAACAGGTTTCAAATACTTGTTTTGACTGGCCTTCAATTTTTCAATTTCGTTCGAGATGGCTTTTTTCTTATGACCTGGAAAAATCAGAGAACATTAAAAAAAACATGAAACGTTGAAAGATGTCTGCTTAAATTAATTGAATAGACTATTTTAAAACAATCCTTAATGTTAAGCTGTGAGAAGCTGACAGAAAACATCATCGAACACTTATGTTGATCTATACAATCTTAAATCCAGACCAATTCAGAGATTTTCGAGCATATTTTAAGTATGTGACTTAGATATAAATAATCATAACATACCTACTTCAAAATAATGACAGATTTCAATGACAAACTGATTTTGATGCTGCAACGAAGGTTGCAATTTCATGCATTATTTCTAATGAATATTCTGATGTTTTCTTTAATGCTTATAACCTCAAGATATCTCCAAAATTTAAATGGAGAATGTTCTGTAACTGTACTAAACTTACATAATGAAAAAATAAAAAGATACTCACTGGCCAATAGTAAGAGCCTTTCTGCTTCAACTCGCTGAGTGGAATTCGTGAACTCAGATGAGGAAAAGCAAACGGATAGAGCTCCTGCTGCTTGAGATATTATGTTCTCTTGAGCCTTGACCAGTGACTCGAACTTCTTGATTTGCGATGCTATGCTCATTTCGGAGGTATCTTCTGACTGGTGTAACTCCTCAGCGATTGGTGCCCGCACATATGGACTTGTTGTTTCACTTCTAGCAGGCGCAGGAGACTGTAATTTTTGTAATAGAATTAAATTTGAATTAATTCATTTAATTTCAATTGCATGTGAAGAAACTCAAGATATCATTTGAACTACATTTTGCGATAAGGAACCATTATTTCTGGCTCATTTCAGAAACAACATGTATGCTATTGGTTTCCCTAAGCAAGAAAGTGGTTTTATGTAAGAGCCAGAGCTGGTGGTTCCTTATTGCGAAATGTTATCCATTTGAAGTAACATTATAAGATCAGCGGTCCAGATTGAGCAGTCTTTCCTTGCATAGATATGAATACATATTTTTTTATGAAAAATGAGTTTAAGCTTGACCATACGTAAAACAATGCTTTCCTTTTTCCGTACCAGATGAACTGAGTGATTATCTCTAAGATTCAAGTTTTTAATATATTTAAAACTTAAAAGTATACCCTTGGACTCTTCATTCATGAATGCAAGCAAGAGAGTTCCTTAATTCATACTGCAATTTGATTATCAATACTAAACAGAAAAATGTGAATTTAAAGCTTACATTTATTGAATTCTTCCTCGTCTGGGAGAAGCTGACAGAATGAGAAAGGGCCGGCACTGTGTCTTGTACGGTCACAGCTTTGACAGGACTTCCTACTTGGTAAGTAAAACTGGTAGAAATAGAGGTCTCCAAAGAATCATTGCAGATTGACTTGGCTGGAGATGGGCCAAAGGAAGTGTCACTGCAGAGAGCGTTCTCTAAAAATGCATCCATTTCTTTCAAAATTGAATGCCTTTCAATTGATGAGCTACTGCTATCGCTTCGTCGCTGTAAGCAAAAAAAAAATGTTGAAAGAACAAATTGAAAAAATTGACTTTCATCACAAGAGTGAAAAATCGATCAGTTTTTAAACACTTTTTGAGGATTTTCGAGTGCTTTTCGAGACTTTATTTTTTTCAATACACGGTTTTTCCCCCTTGTGTGTAGCTCAGTTTCAAAAAGCCGTAAAGTTCAGCAAAAAAGTAACTGCCTTGTACACAAATTAGTGGGTAATATTTACAGAACTTTCTTTGTCTCTTTGTGACAATTGCCAATTTGTTAAAAATGCTTAGAAAATGCTAGATTTTGAAAACAATTTGAAGGCTTTGAAAGTGCTTGATTTTTTGGAGGATGCTTGTAAAGTTCATAAATTGGTCTTTTTAGTCATGTTTCTCCTCAGCTGTGATTGATCCCTGTTTTGAGCAATAAAAAAGTATTGGACAATGAATAGATTCTTTAGAAAGACATCTCATCTTGGAAAAGAAAACAAAACATTTCTGACTCAGAGTCAAGTTACAGGGAGAATAAAGCTCTGCTTTTTTACAAAGAATTGATGACTGATACGAAGAGAAATTGAAGCACTTTTCAAGCATTTTTCATCAAGCCCTTTTGAAGCCTTTATAATTTTTTTCCAAGCCGAAAACTTTTCAAGCACTTTTAAAGGCTCAACAAACCAAGTTTAATCAAGATTTCTATAGTTCCTTAGAATTGTTTTTATGAAGGTTGGGCATAAAAAAACAGTAGAAACCTTTAAGGTATTTGGTGTGCAGTTAACACTTGAGTCCATATTGACAATATTGAAATTTTCTGCGCTACTTTCGCTTGATAAAGAACTGATGCTGGCATCTAAATTTTCATTGCAGTCAGTCCTCTCTTCTGTTGAAGGATTTTCTTCTGAAGAAAGTGCCTCTGAGTCAGTCTCCACTTCCATGCCAGAGAGGCAAGGATACAGATGACCGGGTTTTGGTGGAGAAACATAAACTGGTTTCACTGATGAAAAAACTGCAAGTAAAAAAACAAATTTGATATGAGCAAAAGATGAGAGTGACTGAGAAAAGAAACCTTTAGAACATAAAAACTGAATGAAACTTAATTGATGGAGATAATGTTTACAAAAATGTTTCACATGGTTCGTTAAAGCTGGGAAAACCAAAATTCAAGAAAAATAGGGTATTTTTAAGTACTGTTTATGCAGATATTTTAATATAATAGTAACCTCAATGGAGTTCGACTTTAAAGAGAAATTATCTGTAACCTATCGTTGCAAACTTTCTGGAATATGCTCATACTAGTTTTAGAGATGTTGGCTTTCCAACAAAAATATTTCCAAGGTAGATAAGTTTCATTGATTCCACAGAATTCAAATATTCTTAGGAATTTGGACATGTCATGATTCTTTACATCTTTTTTTTTTCACACTGAGGAAACCTTGCTCTCGACCAACACCGTCAGATCAAGAAAGTGGATTTGAGCAAAATATTTATACGGGAAGCGATTTGGTTTCAATCATGTCAACTTTATGACTTATAACAGGCGGGGTAAGTAGAGTATTTTAGAAGGTCATGATATTAATATAAAGCCCAAGTGTGACTTCAAAGATTTGAAAAGAGAAAAAAAGTTAATTCTGCGTGAGAGGGAAATAGTGATCCTTATGGTTACTGCAACATTGGTGCTGCTGGTATTACCTAAGCGTTTGTAAAGGACATTCCTTTCCTTTTTTTTAAAAAAAAAGGAAATCTACCTACCTCATATTTCCTCAGGACATGTAATTACTTTCCCTTTGGCAAAAATGCATGTCTTGCTAAATTATTATTTTACAAGTACAAAAAATTTGACACTAGACCACACATTTACCCCAAAATCGGAGGAGAATTATTTTCCTCCAGCTCTTGACTTCAAGTGCTTAAAAGCCTTAAGCTAGGTATAGGGTAAAATGGCTCACCATTAGGAGGAGACAATGTATTGTTCATGATGCTAATTTCTTTCAACGGAACTTTTCCTTCCTCTTTAACAGTGGCAGGGACTGGCTTTGGAGGAACTGACGGTGGTCGATTGTTGATGCTGATTTCTTTTAATGGAACTTTTCCTTCCTCTTTAACAGTGGCAGGGACTGGTTTTGGAGGAACTGGCGGTGGTCGATTGTTATGCACAGGTTTCAGAATTTCAGTGCCTTGTGGTTTTGTTACGACTGGAATTCTTGTAGAGAGGTTCGGAGTTTCAAACAACTTTGGCAACTGAGATGGCGGTTTTGGGAAACCCTCCATGAATGATTTTTCACTGGCGAAGTCCTTAGATTCTCTTGAGGCTTTGGCACGCAGCCTCATACGCTGTAAAAAGATGAGAAAAATATTTGGTCATAAAATTCACAAGACAAATCTTACATGAATATTGAAGCTTGCTCATTTTATGTTGAGACAAAAGTTACCTAATACTGAATTCCAACCAGGAGCATTGAACTGATTAAAAGTTTCCTTAACTTTAAGTTATTTGGCTCCGTTAAGGCGCGTTTTTGTGGCTTGCTAAGCTGCTTGTCAGGCTGCCTAACATGCAGTTTAGTGGGCCGCTTCACGAGCCTTCTGTCAAGCGTGCTCTTCAGCAACAACACAGAGCCCTTTGGTCGAAGGCCCATCAAGCTGCACGTAAGGCGGCCTGCGGGGCGATTATTGAAACTATGTCAGCCCGACACGACAAGACATAGCCCTATCTTAACCATGCAATATATCGCAATTCGATGTCTTATCGGGCTGGTTTAAATTTCAATAATCGGCCCGCTGACGAGCAGCTTCGCAAGCTGAGTGAACACACATTATCCTCACAGGTAATGCTGGAGATCTGGGTTTTTACTGTGCATACCCTGATGAGTAGCTTTCATGCACAAATTATTTAAATAAACTCTACCCTCTGTGATTGGTCCAATGCTCTATCAGGCATTGTAAAAGATCTCATTTTATCTGCATGAGAGTGTGATAGATGTGTGAATAGGGTTTACTCTCGAGGGAGAAAACCAAGATACTTCATAGGAAGCCAATGATTCTGTCAGAAAATATTTCTGAAGGTAAGTAAATTTGAGAAAGATTACAATGCTCTGAACGGAGTCTACTTCTAAAAGATTCTCTGAGGATGGTGGTCATTTCTGCGTTCCGAGATCAGAGAGCAAACTGAACAAAACAAAAGCAGTGTACTTTGAACTAGGTAACTGAGAAGCTCTAGCTCCAAACAAGTTTGAACCTCAGATCCAGAAATACAAATACTCGCGACGGAGAGGATGGCGGTCTTGATTGAAATGTTCATGAAACATTCATGAGTTCATTTCTTACGGCGTCAGATCAATTTGAATTTGTTTTTGCCCTCGGTAAAATGATATTGTCATTTGAAAAATGTTGAACTGGAAGAAAGCAATCAAATCTTACCTCAGAAAAAGAAGTCATCCTGATGATTCTGTGATCTGTAATGAGATAAACAACACTTTGTGAAGGATCAGCGTAATAGGTAATAAGGAACGTTTCCAAATATTCTCAAAATCACTTCGTAATAAATGGGACCGTTTTAATCACAGTGGAAATCAAATAAGAAATTTTTAACGACAAAAAAATTCCTTCGACAAAATTTTTTGAAAACATAAACACGGCGTGAATACTGATGAGATGTCGGTTACAAGCAGCAGTGTACCAACATTCACATTGTAAGGGTTCCTAATGAATGAATTGGAATGTCTGGGCAATTTAGATCGGTGAAGATTTATAAATACAACTTCACTTTTTCATCTTCATTTTGGTTCAGAGTAGTAATAATTCAACCCTCCATTCTAGTTCAATTGGTGTAAAAACAATTTCAAAAGCACTCGCAGTCTGAGATTGGGGTAACTGAAGAACTAAAGTTGCAAACTTGAAATTATGTTGTTGTGCCGAATACACATCAAATGATGCTCATTGGCTGATCAATTACGCGCATATTTTACCCGGGATTTTTAAATCGTCGGGGTTCTCGGTTCTCTCCTTCGCCCGCAATATTTATCCACTCGTCTTCAGTGCATGATTACAATCCTGAATCCAGCCAGTGTTTGTCTAAAAAGTTTATTCAGGTTTCTTCTTTCACTTATTCCTCCTCATCTTTTAAATATACTTCAAAGGTTTGGAGATAGAAAAGGAGAAATAGATGAAGAAGACGAGGAGAAGAAAAAAAAAGACGGGAATAAATTATTGTAATGACGCGCAATCTATGATAATTTTATAGACACATTTTATGCCTGAAGGAGTTAGAGTAGAACAAGAGTTTCTCTCGTTTGGACGGTTAATGCAGTCCCAGATATTAAATCGTAAGTATTTTGCCCCCTCATATTAAGATTGGATTAATTAGGTCTTTATTTTCTTTCTAAACCCAATTTTATAGTAGATCAACGCATGATTGCGAGTCAATATAATACTGATAGAAGGACCGAATAGAATAAGAGGAAAAAGAGAAGGAGGCGTAAGTGCTCGCTTCCTTGGTTTCATCGTTTCTGTTCAAATCCAAGAAAAAATGACAGAGGCGGATCCAGCAATTTGGCAACACCGGATTTTCTCCATTTAAACCTATGCTAAATAATCGACTCTTGTCGGAGCACCTGGCTCTTCCAAGAATCGATACATTTTCATAGGTTCAAACGGAGAAAAGACAATGTTGCCAATTTCCTGGATCCACCAATGCATAATGACCTTATTTTGTTAGTTGACTATGAGACGTTAAGTGATGTCGCCATTGGTACTTTAAAGTCCTCTGAATAATATTTTAGTCCGCAATTTCAATCCTCGTTTTCAATTGACATCAAGATACAAGATACGAGAAATAGTGACTGAGCGCCCCTGTGTTCCTTCAATATGGTAGCTTGGAAATTTCAACTATTTTTTATACATTGTAAGTATTGTATACCACACGTTAATTGTCGGGATTTTATCGGGCGGCATACCGCCAGCAAGATATTCTACATTCATTGAATATGGATTTCCATTTCGCAAACAGCGGCGCACCTCTATGAACATGAACCCTTCGATGCCCAAGCCAGCTCAAATAACTCGAGGCTTGCTAAAAACCCGTGCGGGTTGTATAGGGCCGGTACATATCGGAGCGTTAGAGAAAGGTTTTCAACTATATCGAGTAGAAAGAAAAAAATCGAGAGCCAGGGATTTTTTTTTTTTTTTTTTTTTTGATAAATAGACCTACAAACACCAAGCCGGGTCAAATTGACCCGACTATCTCTTAGGAGAGTTATGGGGCCGGTACATACCGGTGCTTCAGACATAGTTATATACGCTCACATCTGAAAAAAAGAATCGGACGTTAAATTTAAAAAAAGGAATAACTCAAGTGTCCACACAGTTGAGGATTGGATGGAGAGACACATTCAGGCCTTGTTTTTAAACTTTCATCCCCAGTCTGAGCGACATCTCATCAGCCCTATGCTAAAGAGAGCGGGGCATTTTGAGAGTTCACGCGTTGCGCCATCGCGCCTTCAATTTTGCAGATGCAACACGGACATCCATTAAGTACGAGTAGTTGTATCACTGCGCCGCGCCGCGCGCCGTCATGAACGCTCGTTCACTCCCTTGCTCTATTTCCGTATTTTGCTTGTTTTCGTTAGTCTTATTAATGTATTATTGTTGTGGTGCTTCAAAGGTTACGTGAGGAACACAGCCGAAGGTAGGAGAGACGTAATCGGGCCTCGTTCTTTAACTTTCACCTCGAATCTGAGCGACACCTCATTGGCAGTGAAGAGCGGAGCATTGCGAATTCACGCCTCGCGCCATCGCGCCTTCAATTTTGCAGATGCATCACGGACATCCATCAAGCACGAATAGTTGTATCTCTGCGCCGTTATGAAGGAGCGTCTTTTCCTTTGCTCTAGTTCCAAGTGCGGTTTTAATTTTGTTTATGCTACATTGACGTCCATCTAGCACGAATAGTCGTATCTCTGCGATTTCATCGAGGCGCGTTGAGTTGCCTCATATTATTGAAATTTAAGAAAAGTTAGAGTTAATTTTGCTCAAAATATGGTATGATGTGTCCAAATCAATAATAATTTTGAAGAAAAAAACAGTTTAGATGTTTCTCTGGAAAATGGAATTTCGGCGAGAGTTGTGTCTTTTTTTTTTTTTTTTTAAGTCAACCCTTAAAAATTTCAAGCCAGGTCATATTGATTGGACTATTTCGTCTGCTGACGGGAATATGAAGCTCCTCGGCGAAAAAATAAAATAGGAGCGATACTTTTAAAGCAGCCCAATAGAGATACGTGGTTTTTACTTTGGCCATCATGCTTGAAAGGTGGTCTCTGCATTGCGAGACTGTCCTCCTGAATATATTCCATAATATTCACATATAATATCATTTCGACCAAAAAAATGACCTAAAAAAGAAAATTCCCCTTTACAGAAAAGTTCATCTTACATTTAACTCAATATTTCAGCTCCGATCCTAAATGACAAAAAAAAACCAAGCTCGGAAGCAGATGGATGAAATTAAAACGACGGAATGATAGCGATACATTCGCGAGGGGTCGGAGGGGATCAACACATGATTTGTCGCGATCACTTAAGAATGAAACGTGACGAATGCGGAATCAAACAGTGGCCATAAATTGGCACCATATTCGCTGCCGCGCCGGCCGATAAATATGAAATTACAAGTAAGCGTTTCCCGAGCACCCGACATCAAACAAGTTAAACAAGTGTCGACCGTAATTGTAGCGCCCTCCCTGCAGGGCCGAGGTCGGGTCGGGGCCACCCTGGGGACCGCGCGGTCGCATTCGACGCGGATAATTCGGGAAAGGAGCTGAACAATACCCTGTTGAAGGGTTTCCTCGCATGTTTTATCAACAGCTCACTATAACTAACCTTAAGTTACCAGTAATTCCCCCAGCGCGGCGCGTCCGCAGGGACGGCGCAGCGCCGACTTCTCCCGAGGGACTTGCGAGCAGCGCGCCCATCACCAAGTGGTGACACTATTTTTTATTTTTTACAATGCCGCTTTGTGATGACTCTACCCTCCGGTAGATCCAGATCAGCCACCGACCCCTGACGACGTCGAGGGGTGCATGTTATTAAAATTGTAAACACCCCGACCGAAATCCGTGAACAAAGTGTGCTGGTAGCTTTGGCTCCCTCCCTCCTCCCTTTCAGTTCTGTTATCTCCTCCGCAGGGATCGATGCAGTGAGGGGGAGGATGGGCCAGAGGGGTAAAGAAAGCTAGACGGAAACTGAGTAAGACAGGGAGTAGGATGCTTATCAGTGCCGAGGCCGGTGCGCCTGGTTACGGGACTTACCAGTGGCGTGGCGTGCTTTGCGATGTATCGATTGTTATGCCATTTAAACCTATGGTAAAGAATCGATTATTAAGGTTTTCGGTGCGAACACCCTGATAATCGATCCTTTTCTACAGAGTTAAATGGCAGATCAATCGATATATCGCAAAGCACGCCATGCCACTGGGACTTACGCTGCCGTGCTGAAGAGAAACGCCGTATGAGCCTTTAGACGTTGCCAAATTTCTTTCGATAAAAACCACAACTGCTGGGAAATTCGTGAATATTTTTTTTTCCAAAATTTGCAGACTATTTTGTGCGCAATTTAATCTAAAATGTCTGAGCATTTCAAGGGAAAATGGACATGCATGTCATCAAAAATACATATACTATCGAGGGAAATTTGGCAACTCTCGAAAGCTCATACGGCGTTCTTCCTTAGCACGGCAGTTTGGGCTGTGTGGAGGGAGGCTTCAATTTAACGACCCAGTGAGCTTGCAAAGTCTCTGACGGCTATTCGGACGCCTTTGACTCGACCAGCTCCACAGCATTTTGGACTTGTGAGATCATTCTTTCGACAGCATCATGTGGAAAATTCACATTTGAGGGGTTTGGAGGACAAGGTAGATAAGTGCAGTTTTTGCTTTTTCGAGGAAAATGTGTTTAGGTAAAGTTTCTAAATTCAGAAGCCTTTTGGCGGGGAGAAAGTTCGAATTGACGTTTTGATGCTCAAAAACTGGGGTTTCACCAATGAATTTTTCATAGAATTTATTTCAAACCTAGATTTAGTTGAATTCATTAATATGTTATTTTTTTTCTTTTTCGAAAATTGCACTGTTGCGCCTTGTCCTCCCAGCCCCTCATTTGCAACAACCTTTTGCAATGATCAAAGCTGATTATGTGTGAATTTTGGCAGCCTTTCAATTTCGCCTCTTCTCACAAAATAAATGCATCGCTTTCGTTTCTGAAGGTCCAGCATTCTGAAGTGTGTGCATGAGCCTTTCAGATGAATCTAAGTGTCCTGGGGACGATAGATCTGCCAGTAAGTTGCGTTGATACATAGTCTATCTTAGAGTGCCCACATGGAGAGAGTGCGGACATGTCGGTAATTTGGACGTATTTCTGTCAAATGGAACTATGTGCTGTATGACGTGCTGAGCCCTATCGTGCATATATTCTTATGAGCCTCAGGGCGCATGTCTTAATGCACATAGCTCCGTTTGGCGGAGATACGTCCATTTGGAAGTTAGGTCATGGAGCTTTTAGGGCCCAAAAGGGCACCCAACCCATGAACTCAAATTATCCAGGTTGATTTATTATTAAGTACAGTTTTTACAACCTGTCGTTTCT